AAATAATTTTTTTATTAAAACATGTAAAATCATAAAAATCAATTTATAAATACAAAAGTAAAAATTTACCAGTATTAAAAAATAAAATAGATTTTCAGTCTCGTACATAAAACAAAATACAATTTACATACCCCCTAATCACATACACCGTACTCCGCAAGCAACGTCGGTGGAACTCCCTTACTGAAGTCGAAAGTTGCATTGGTATGATTCTTTTAACCTGAAATGGTGAGTAACAGAGTGAGCTTTGGGAAGCTCAGTAATACAGAACTACCATTGATGCTACAGGACAAGCAGATAAATTTAAAGCCATATAATTTACTTATTGAATCAGACGTATACAGGTTTTCGGGATAAGCTAGGGTTCCAATGATAGTTCACGAGTAGAAGCCATGAATATCTTAGTTCATAGAAAACATTCATAGTATCAAATTTTCAGGAGATCGAATCGGATATCTAGTGTGTTCCCATCAAAACTAGTGAAAAGATTTAAATCTTTTAAAATCATAGTGGAACCCTCTAACCAAACTCCATTATGCAGTTCCGTAGAACTGCATCCATAAGGGCTTACTCAAAGCACATAACAAAGGGAGTTAACCTAAGGGAATGCCTTGGGGCCTAAAGGCCTACCAAGGGTATTCTTAGGTCCGTAAGGATTTACCAGCTAGATCAGAGTTGTACCTCCATACTCCAGAATCCTACCCATATAAAGAATCCAATAGAAATCAATTTTAATCGTAATCCCGTAATATCTGGATCGTGATCCAGTAATATCTCATAATCGTAATAATGAAATAAACCATATAACTGATTCCACCTGTACACCATAAGTAGTCTCATGATTAACCTAAGGGAGTGCCTTGGGGCCTGAAAGCCTACCCAAGGATCACCTTAGGTCCGTAAGGATTTACCAACTTGATCAGAGTTGTACCTCCATACTCCAGTGTACCCAGGTAATATCCCAATAAAACATTTCGAGTATAACACATGAAAATAGGAAACCATAGTTCATAAACAGTAAACTCCATGATTCCATAAATCATGAGCAATTCATATCTTTCAGTGAAAATAGGTAACCAGAGAACATATACCATGTAGTCATAGTTCATAAGCCAGTAAATCATTAAATCAGTGATTTCAAAAAATCACGTTTTAAAACCAGTTATGACCGACAGAAAGGTATTCATGATTATGAATTGAATTATTAGGATTTTAAGTTCAATTGAATCAAATGGGGTATTCAGAATCATTTGCATCTGACTTACTTGTATGATCAGTTATGACCGGAGTAATTTGAGTTGATAAGGGAGAAATGAAGGTTCAGAACATTTACAATCTGTTTCGATCTATCAGAATATCGAAATAACTCGAGTTGAACAACTCCCAGAACTGATGCATGTCAACTGGCCCATTCGTTGCCCTTCCATGGTATTCACTCTTTAGTACCAACAATTCTTGTCCATAGGTCACCTTCAGAATCATCGTTGAATATATCTTAAAGAGACAAACAGATAATCCAATTTTCTATATTTCATTTCCACATTGCAACAATATCAGAAATTGATAACGTACTTTAATTCGTGGTTCATAACCCATAGGGACAGTACATCATAAAAGTTCATCAATATTTACAGACTTATCCAAATCACTTACTTAATCCATAGACATTGAGGTTACGTAGATCATTTAGCAAACAAGTCTATCCAGTCACTTCAGAGTTTTCCAAAGTAATTTGGATGTTTCTAAATTTTGGATACATATTGTACTTCCGTTCAGTTCAATTTGGTCATATAATAAAGTTATTTTGGTATTTTAGGTTAATTTGTTCATTTCAGAATTAAAGGTAATAGTTATTCCAGGTCTTAGAGGTACTTTAGATCATTTTATACTTTAGGGGCATTTTGGTCATTTTACACTTCAAAGTATTTCTATAATTCCAATATAGATCCGGAATTTAATTCAATAATTCAAAGCTATAAAGATATGAGTTCTCAAATCGTCTCCATAACATAATCATCTATAGTGCTAAACATCTTAAGCGTATCATCGTCATTTCCTTTAGGCTTGGATGAATTCTAGTTCCTTTAGCGCTCATGGTATTTATTCCTTTGCTCAATGGAGGTTATTATAGTTCGAGGATATTTTGGTAATTCTTTTCAATTCGATCATATGCAGTTTTTCTGATAATTAAACAAGTTTATCCTTTCAGAGTTATTACAATGTCTGAGTCCAGTAATATTTAAATACATCTAATGTATCAATCAATTCTACTCATGCATTTACCATCCATCAATGAGTCCGAAAGCATACAAAAAGTAGTAGAGTATTACCTCGATTTATGTGTCATACCGATTGACCAATTAAACTTCATTTGATCGCCCTCGAACTTGAATTTAACGTCCAATATTTCCTCGGATACAAAGCAACCGAATTTACGTCAGAAACTGAACTCAATTTAGGAATCTTATTGAATTCCGAAGGTAAAACATCGAAAATAGCTTATCGGGTGCGAATTTGAAAAAATGTACTTCAAATTCAGACTCAGGACGTCAAAAAACATAAAATATGTTTTTTTTTTGAAAAAATTGACTTTTTGGTCAAAGTCAACTGGTTGACTCAGACTGAGTTGACTCGGTGACTAGACCGAACTAGGCGGGTTGGGCAGATGGGTTGGGTTGACCCGGTTCTAGAAATTTCCTAGGACCCAAAACAAGTCCCACGCGCACCCGACGGTGCGTGGGGCGCTTGCGGCGACGACAAGGGCCATTCCAGTAGGCCGATTACCCCCTGCTTCAACAATCACCATAATTGATCAAATTCAACATCAAAACTCAATTAAAACCAATTAAAAATAATTAAAGAAGTGATCGGAGGTAATTACCAATGACGACCAGAGAAAATCACGTCGATCGGGGACATCGCCGACTGGGTCATGACCGCGACGGAATGGAGAGTTTGATGGTGAGGGCGGTGTAACTCCATTGGGTCATCATCGGCATGAATTTGAAGAAAACAGAGGCGATGGCTAGGTTTTCCTGTCGAACGCTTCAACGTCGATTCTCGACGATTGCCACCGTATTACGACAAGGATCGATAGGGGTTTTGGTTAGGCTGGCGCGTCGTGACGATTGGAGGTGGCGTAACCTGCACCATCGGCCAGAGCAGAGACGACGTAGAGGTAACCGAATGATTCTCTCCCTTACACACTCCATGCGATGAACGGCAATCGAAACGACGTTCTAAGGGTCGAGGTCGGATCGCCAGTCGCTGTTGATGTCGATGACACGAACAGCGTAATCAACCGCCAGTTGGAGGGGTTGATCGGAGGGGCTACGGTGGGGTTACTTGGGTTATCGGGGTTTGGGTTATCGGGTTTCACGATTGGGGGAGGGGTTAAATTTTACTTATAAAAGAAAATAGTCTAATTATGGGTTTGATCCCCACATTCCTGTAACTTTATATATTTGTCTATAAATTTCATGAACTCATAATTTGACCCCTACTTTGGGGTGTTACACATTTTTCCTTAAAGAAAGACCCCAGCGAGTGAGAAAAATATTCACTACCATTTCAGACTTAAAAATCCAAACAAAACTCTGAAATTGATTCTTAATCATTTTATTGAATCGCTTAAAAATATCATCAGCCTCGGATTTTTCGTGCATGAGAAAAGTCCATGTCATACGAGAATCATCATCAATAAAATAAACAAACCAACGAACTCCATTCAGACTTTTTACACGAGATGTACTCCAAATATCATTGTATACGATCGCAAGAGGCATAAAAGGGTGATATGAGGAAGGATGACATGTACTACAAATTTGTTTGAAAAGATGACAAATATCACAAGAGAAAGATGCAAGATTTTTATCAATGAAGAGTTTGGTAAACAACTTTGCAAGATGGAAAAAAACTACAATGACGTAACCTAAAATGCCATAAAACAATCTCAGCAAAAACATCATTAGGTGATGGAGATATCGAAACAATAGAAGACACAATGCTAGAGTTGGCTTGGGTATGAACTGAAGGGGGGCTTCAAGGATGTAAAGTCCACCACGATGCCTAGAACTGCCAATCACCATCCACGAGTTCGAGTCCTAAAATTCACAAATATCAAAGTTAAAAATGGTAGTGCAACACAATTAAGTAGACAATTTACTAACCGAAAGAAGATTGTAAACCAAATTCAAAACGTAAAAAACAGAAAATAAAACAATATGCGAATTGATGTGAATAGAGCCACTATCAACAATAGTCGAAAGTGAATCATCAACACTTCAGACACTAAAGTAAGAGACTGCTTTATGAAAATTATGAAATAGTGTGAAATCACTCGTCATATGATCACTAGCCCCGGAATCAACAATCCAATAAATAGAACCAAACGAAGAAAATAATGCAGCATTGACCGTAGCATAATTACCGGTGTCAACAGGATTCAAGTGAGAAACAGAGGTCACAGCCTTCAAAAGAACCATCGTAGTTGGGATCTATCCTAACTGATACTATGTAGAAACTATAATTTACTGAAAAATACTAGGAATTTTATTCAATTCACATTTGAAAAAGAATGGTACAAGATTGTTTTTATAGGTGTAGTTCAAGGAGCTTTAGTTACAAATAAAATAGGGTCTTATCTAGGACAAGAATTTTAACTATTCTAAAATTATTTTTATCCAAAAATAGGCTATTAGAAATAGTGTTAGGACGAAACACTAATATTTACAAAGCAATAACCGTAATATAACTCAATATCTGAGTGGACGTGCCAACAAATTATATAGAAAAAAAATCAGAATAAAAAAAAGCTGACTCAGGTTACACCTGCAGCAATAAGTTGAAGATAAGCTCTGAGGGACCTACCTTGCCTATAAAAACTTCTGGTTGCAAAACCATGACAAGACATTAACCACCCAACAATTATATATAATTCTTGTATCAGTTTTCATAATAAAATAATATTTTGAAATTTTCATTAGAAAAAAAAGCAATACTTTATAACCTATGCTTCGTCATGTTCCAAAGTGTTAAACATAAACACAGTGATGTCTTCTCTTCCTTTGATACCCCTCCATCCAGGTAGCACAAGATCAATGTCTGTAATAAGCTCTGTTCCTTTTCATGTTCCAGTTACAACATATAAACCAGTTATCAAACATGCCAACAAGATCGTTATGAATAAACAGAGTGAAGTTCCTGACAAGAAAGCTTACACAAATCAGACCAGATCATTCTCCAACAAGGTCAATATTTTTGCTTTCCTGTTTTGTCTTCTATGTTTCTCGTTCATATATAGATTGCCTAACTTGTCATGGATGTTTGATCTGATGTTTGCATCATAATTAAAAAGGTTTTCGAGGATCAGTCCCAGGGTGTAATATGCTATAGAGATGAAAATGGAGAAATTGTTTGCGAAGGGTATGATGAAGGCCCTCGTTGCCCACGACAGTTTCCGGGAGCATCGTATCATTCGAGGTAAGAATCCTGTCTCGGGTTCCATGATAAGCCATATTCAAATGACTGTGTTTTGTACTCCAAGTTGAAACTTTTGGCAATGTTCTGAGTCCAGAGATGCTGAGATCCTTGATCTTCTTCAAGATAGATGGCTTCAAATACTTAATGGTGGCGGATTAAGCAGGGCTAATAAAGGTGTTAGCATTGTGCAAGATGACTCCTAGTGGATTGAATTTAACAAGTTCCAGTATCAGAAAGCTTCTCTCTTACCAGATTCCACAGATTTCAGGAAATAATTGTTTCTACAAGAAAGATCAAGTATTAGAGATCGTATATAGATAACTAGAACATCTCCGTCTTATAATCACTTTGTTTTTGTACTCTGATTATCAAAGCTAATAGCCCTTTTCGGTTTATTGTTATTTTTCAATCGATAAACTATTATTCTAAAGGATCACTTGATTCTGAATGAGCAATGAACCCAGAAATAAAGAACATATGAAAGACTCCAGAATTCTTCTAATTCATTGTGATACATGAAAAAGAAAAGGTTGACAAAGACACACTACATGATAAAACGCTAAATCAAAGAATATTTGTACAAAACTTTCCTGCTGCGGACAAGAAATATTGGACCTTTGACAGATATTCCCATGGCTTTAGAGAGCCTTGTTTTTGCATCTACTAACAACATAATTATGAATATCTTTTGGTGTTAATGGAAAACTACCCTTCAAAAGAATCGAAAAAATTGAAAGAATCATATGAACTATAAAAAGAAATAGAATGGAAGAGCTAAACCCCAGATTATAGTTTGAATGTTCAATGCCAGACTCACAGAATCACTTGGTGGAGACAGAACGTTGACTGTTCTCTTGACCTGTATTTGACTGAGATTTGCTTGAAACGGTAGGAGGAGACCACTGATCTGGGATCATTAGAAAATACGTTGACATTGCTTTCCTGAACCTCTTCTTGTATTGTTCAGGTGAAATCACGGTTGGCGATGCATTCTTCGGCCCGCCAAGGATGCCTGAAGCCTTCACCCAAGTTTCAAGATGCTTGTCCCATGTATACTGCCTCAAGAAATCGATGATTCCGATAACTAACTCATGCTTCTCTTCATCCACTCCAAGCAGTAAAGAGTAATCCATCAAGTCATTCGACTGCAAGGTGGAAAAAGATAAAGAAAGTGAGCATACACTCGAAGATGTGTGTCATGTGAACGGATCTCCATGCATGCTAACTCGAAGCAACAATTTATAACTTACTGCTAGGAAAGCAGTGTCATTCCAGACTGCTCTTTCCAACACACGCTTCGCTTTATTACCCACGAAAATGGGGTTAGTCGGCATTGATTCAATCAAGTTCTGATCTAGCAGAACATTGTTGCTTCCACTAGAATCGGGATTATAACGAGATCTAGAAGATCCTTTGAGATCATATAGCCGCGTGACACTTCTCCTAAACAGAAGATTCTCCATAACCAAAACATCTATCCTTGATTCTTTCCCTCCTTTAGGTTGCTTTGTTGTAACCTTCCACGAAAGAGAAGAAAAACAACAATAAGGTATAAATAATGGTTACGGAAAACACATGCAATGTGTCTGTGAATAAATGAACTCCTAGTACCATCTAGTTCCTAAAAGCAAGAAAAAGCAAAGGTCAACTGTCCTTTCTAAAACTCCTCGTAAGGTAGATGTTTTAGGAAGGACAGAAGACCATCTTTTTTATCCGAAAGATTATTGATTATGATATACATCATTAGAACATCTGAGGCTCAAGGAATAAGTACTTGATAAACACCGAGAATCTTTGCCAGGCATGTTGGACTTCTAGATCTAATTGCTTCAGACATGTACTTGAAGTATTTAGGTGCAAATTTTGTAAATGATTCCAACTCTGTCTTTGTGACTTGTTTAATGATAAACCGTTCGTCCAAGGTCTTTGCAAAGAAAACATTGCTCTTTCCACCCTGAGCTCCCCACTTCTTACAGCGACTCAGAGATCGTATGAAATCTAGCTCTGATGGGCAACATACTCTCCTTAATGTTTCAAACCACTTTGCATAGTAACAAGTAACCGTATATTTCACTTTATCTGACCCATCATCTCCAAATGACACCCGGACATGCAAAGACTTCAAACTAGAGGGTGGGTCCATAATGACGGAGCTTCGGCTTCTAGTAGGGTCATCTGCGGAACAAAAACTTCTATGAGGATCAAAAGGCATATCGTCAACAGATTGGAACGACTGAGAATACACTGAATCGGAGGACAATGAAGACATGGACTCCCCCCAGTCTTTAGGTCTATCGCCATCGTCACTTATCTGAAAATGATATTCAGGTGATACTAGAGCATACGATATGGTGCTTGTGAGCTCGTCATCATAAACTGGAATGACAGTGTCATTAACACCCACTGGAAGAAGCAGCCTAGCCCCACCTTGTAGTCCCAATTCTCTAAATGATGAAATATTTAACTGATCATACACATGCAATGCATCAAGCTTTGAAGAACTTCCAAAAAAGTTTTTGTTCGATGAACGGTAGAAGCTCAAGAAAGGCATTTTTAACCAGTTTACGAATTCTTCCATATTTTCAGAACCTATACTGAACAATGCAGGGGAAGGAGAACCATAAACCTTTGGCACAATATTTTCCTCAGAACGGTCTTCCAAATCCACAGCACCAATATCAGGAAGTGAAAATGAATTTTTCTTGGATAATATAGGTCCTCGCTGAATTTCTCCAGTCCAAGCAGCATCAAGGGTATCTGACAAATTTTCTAGGACAGGAAACTGGCCTTCAGACATGACCCTGCGAACATTTGCCTTCGGTTTCTCATTGCCATATTGATCAAACATGCTTTGGCTAGCAGAAAGATTGTTGCAGTCTTTTTTTTCGCAATTTGAATTTCCGTTCATGTTTGGTTCTTGATGGACTGCATCTGACTGATTAGCATTGAGCTTTGCATCCACCACAGGTGAGTCACCAGATTCAGATCCTTTTCCATGTTCCGACATATCCATGTCCTTGAGCTTATCAATATCAACAACGGATTTCTCCTCATGTCCTGAAAATGAATTGCTGAAACAATGACGGGGGCTGTAACTTTCTAATTTGGCTGCAAAAACCAGACGTTGGTCCCACATATAAGATTGGAAAAGTAATTGCCGATGCAACCGATTAATTTCAAGGATGTCTACAACAGGTTGTCCTTTTCTCATTTCCCTTTTCAAAGCCTTTTGCAATGATTCCTAAACCAAAGGGACACAGACACAAGCTCCACCGAATTAGGCCTAGACATAAAATCCATGTCAACTAGGCGAAAAAGTACAACATATAAAGTCTTACCTCAAACTCCAACTTCTCCTTTTGTAATATTCCCTCTAGTTCAGCAAATTGATGTCTAAAATCGTTTGTTTTCGTGTTATTATCAGGTGGCCCTAAGTCAATCTGTTTTTCAGCAATTTGATCAATGGACTTTAGTACTTTAGAAAACAGAAGCTCTGCCTGTTTAGCCACCTGTTTATAAAAAAAATATAAAGATAGATTACACAAATTCTGAGAGAACCAAATTGGATTCTTCATAAAACCAAATCGATTATTGTTGCACCTTATCTGTTTCTAACTGTATCCACTCCTGATTCTCATAGTAAAACTCAATTTTTGGAGGCGGGAGGTATACCGAATGAACATCAATTGTTGCATACCGAAAACAGGCCACCATTCTCCCAAATCTGCATATATTTAAACATTGAGAAAGAGGAAGTGTAGAGATTTGATGTATGAATACTTTTTTCAGCTAATAGTTCCTGTTAATTAATCAGCCAGATCATGATATACATCACATACCAAATATTTAATCAATTACCCAGAACATTAAAAAATTATCTAAGATCACTGAAAAATATGATATGATTAATGTCATCCGACTAAGGAGTTTAATGACACAGTGTAGCTATTAGCTAACTATAAGTATAATGGTCAATAGCCTTCACAAAAATAGCACATTCTTCTTGAAGGAAACTATTTATACTCACAAATGATATTTTGTTAACAAAAATAAAAACAATAGGGAAAGAAAATTACCCATAGAAACGAAGACAATCTCTATGTAAAGAATGGCCACAACTTGCAACCCTGCTCGCAGCTGCATGGTTTGAAAAGCTAAGCTCCAAAAACTTCCCAAAAGATAAACCCCATGCAGCATCAGACATCACTCTTCTGCGAGTCGCCGGAGGAAAACCATTGGTCCTAGGACATTGCAAGCATCTATGCCACATCCAGATCTTGCCCTCTTTTTCACCAGGCAAGAAAAGTTCAGGGAGTTTCTTAACAGACATGGTTAGTGTTCCTTGCCGATGAGTATAACAGTGAACATGTGCTTCTGAAGGCAATTCACAAGAAGGGCATTGGTAACTCTGAAAAATCAGCAGTCTCCTTAGTTTGAGGGGAATGCTGCGTCTGAACAGAGAAAGATATAAATGTGAAGAACAGAAAGTTTACCTGATCGAATAAACGATCCCGCAAAAACCGACCCAAAGGTTTATCAAAACTGCCATAGTACTTGATACGAAAGAGATGGGATCTTTCACAGACAGTCCCTTTCCTCACACATCGGGATGATAATGATACCAAAATGCTCTGATTATCAGAAGGTGCAGAAGGAAACACTTCTTTTAATGGTTTTGATACCTCAGAATGGTTATTATGGTTTTTACCATTCTGTTGCACAGATGTTGCCTCTGAACAACCTGGTTGAAGTTCAACTGTTGTGATATTATCCTCTGAATTCATGTGTGCTAAAGATTCAGATGGAAGGACACCGTTATTCGTGAAAGATGACTTATTTTTATCCACAACAATTTCCCTAATTGAGGATTCTTTGGTACCCATTTCACTTTTCTTGGAAAATACACCTGAAGTTTTCTCAGAAGTAGATGATACAAGAGCACTTGACTCTTTCAAAGTGGGCTGTACAGACCACAAGTTTGTACCTTTACTTAAACAAGATGCTGGAGTTTCCTCTATCTTCTGAATATTACGACTGATGATTGCCGATGGAACACTGGTAGCCCTTTGTGGTCCACTAAAATGTTGTGGCACCGGAGACTTCATATTGGCAGGAAAAGTGAAGTCGGGAACTGTTGATATGGATCTTGCAATGGTTGACGGGCTATCCTGAAGTGCCACAACCATTGGAGAGGTTGGGAATTCTGGTAGAGAGGCTCCTTCATCGGCAAGAAATGATGTCTCCAAAGCCAAGTGATAAGCTGCAAAAATTCCATATTGAACTACATGCTTGACTTTCTTCAATTCATCTCCTTTTGCACCCCTAAGTAGTATCTGAAGCAAACATATATATATTCAGTTAACTAATAAAATGGTCCATAATAGCAACAAATTTGATATAGATCAACACTGTGGAGAACATGAATGTCAACAAAAAGTAAGTAAATTTTAACTTTATTTACTGTTATTTTCCAGTTCTTTGGTTTTTGGTTAGTTTAAATAACTTACAGTGCAACCCAATGGCTCAGGGCAGCCTTCAAAATACATTAGAGTCTTCACCAGTTTCTTCCCTCCTTGTCCAGCAGAGCCAAGATCTTCCCTGAACCTCTCAACATGGAACTTTTCACAGTAGCCTAAATTCTGAGAAAACAGATGATCAATTGAAGGGATTATTTGAGCACCTGTGCAGCGTGCAATGCGTTCTAATAATGGCCTCTTGATATTGAGAACAAGTGATATGTTTTTCTCAAGAAGAAATTCCTGCGCAAATCGAGAAACCGTTTTCTCTACTAAAAGGATATTAGGTTTATGTGCATATATCTTTGCTACAGCCATCTTCAAATGATCCATTTCCTGGTTAAACATGTGAAACCAATAACTTAAACACAAAAATTAGAATTTATATGAAAAAAAATTATCCCCGTTGAAATAAAAATCAATGAAGCAAAATTAGAAGAAACCTATAAAACATGAAATACCTGCAGCAACAAAGTGTCAAAACTTGACAATAGGTTAGAGACCCGCTGGTATTCAAGAGCTCCACCAAGAATCATGAATTGAGGTTTCTCTATTTTTGAAGTCATTCGGCGATGAGCAACATTTTTCTTGCAAACAACTCCTTTGACAACCATACTACATGAAACCACGGCAAAATCAGAAATAGTTAAAACAAAAATAAAAGGTTGCAACGAGGAAAGTGTCATAGTTAAATCGGAACATATCAATGCAGCAAATGAAAGTGGTGCAACTGATAGTCTAATTTCAACAATAAACTATTATGAAAACCTTCATTTTACTCGCAGCATGAGATACTAGAAGAATTGAAGGGAGGTAGCAGATCTTGCTATGTTTAGGCCGTGGAAAACAGTGAGATTTTGGACTTCAAAAGAGAGGTATCTCAATCTACTTGGCAAGCCATTCCTGACATGATAATTTAATTCTTTTTTTTTCTAATTTTTTTTATCAGAAATCAATGACTTTCTCAAGTTGCAGCACAATATGCATGGCTATTTACTTGGATAAGATTGTTGATCGATTCATCTCTTACTTATCACAGATCAGAAAAAATGAAGAAAATCCTAGAATGAACTTCCTATATTTAGATTAGTTATCAAATTAGGAACCAGCTATTCAGCTGCCAAACTAAGGCAGTATATACTACATTCATATGCTAGAACATTAAAGAGAATGTAAAGGGTTGATGCAGACAAGATACAGGGTTATCTGTTTTTACAAAACAATCATAGTGTTCATCTCAGTGATTTATCTAATTCAGATATCAAAAATCATTAGAACAAAATGGTTAAGGGTACCATGCAAACATCTATGATCTTATGTAACACTTACCTCTCATTGCGATGCCCAGAAGCTATGCATTTCACTTTAACATATCCACCAGGGTCCATCTCACCCCCTTTGGTTGTGTATGGCTTCAAAAGCGAAGCAGCCTCCCAAGAAAGAGCGGTGACGATCTCCAACCAGCTATCCTTACTATTTTCATCACCCACAGGAAGTTTCTCAACCTGTAAAAGCTGAGCAATCAAAGCCCTAAAATGTACATCAACAATATTCTTTGTTACTTTCTTTTGCCCCTCGGTAGACTTATCCCTAGAGCGAGATTCCCCATTTCTGAAGCTGCTTGTCTTGTGCCAATACCCCCAGTCTCCTGCACCATCCCCATCATCCTCGTCATCATACAGACCAGCTGCACTTTCATCATCTTCATCTTCTGGTTCGGGAGGGAGCCAAAGAGGTCCATCATTTTCAAAATCTACTGGCTCGGCAGGATATAAAGAAGGTGATGCTTCACATTCATAACCATCGCGTTCATCTTTCTTCACAAGCTGTGATATTGCTTCCGAACTTGGTGAAGGGACCCGGTTCACTAGAGAACTGCTTAAACTTTTTGAGTCGATATTTTCTCCATCGGGATGAACTTCTTGTGGCTCATCATCATTGCTAATGTCATCAAAGTCGATAGGAGTGTAGTAGCCATCGTCGTCATCAGAGTAATGCAATGTCTCAGAATCAGACAGATATATGCGGTACTCATCATCCTCTTCATCAATCCAAACCTTTTGAGTCAATATTCCTTTGGAACTTTTTGAGCCAACATTTTCTCCTTCAAGATGAAATTTATGCGATCCATCATTATTGCTCATATCATCAAAACTAAGAGGTGTATAGTAGCCATTATCTTCAGAGAAATCAGACATGTCCTCATCATCAATCTCGATGCTGGAAGAAAAGCAAGCAACATGTAAGCAATTGGAATTGCATGTTTAAACCTTTTCTCATTAACTCTTCCAATTGGTTTCAATGGCTACTTACTTCTCTTTCCTTTCCCTTTTAAGAGAAATAAAGAAAAAATCATATTGATAAATCAAGAAAAATAATGCTCTATACATACTTTCAGACATCCTAAGGTCCAAGTCAAAATATAAATAATTAAGTTATGCTTGACCAGTATACAAAACTTGAAAATTTTAAGAAAAATGTAATTAGGGGTGCAAGATCATCTGACCTGTTCCATGAAAGCTCGTATTGGTTTGAAGATGAATCTCCTGCGTCCATAATAAGATCTTTGCTAAACCTTGGCGTTTTCAGGCTAGGTCTACGCATGCTTTTTTTCATTGCAGAACGAGGGCTGACAATAGACCTAGGTTGCATATGTTGATTTCGTCCCGTTCGATATGACAGTGAGCTGAGGCCACTAGATTTAGTGCTGTAAAAACTAGTGGCCAACATTGAGGAACAAAGAGCTCGGTTGGGCACCCACACTCTACCATCATTAGCAATTAAGCCATACCTCCATTGGTTGAAACAATAATCACAAACCCGCACCGTCTCCTGCTCTTCTAGGGGGATCCTTGGGTCATAAGATGGAGCAGGAACTGAGTTTCCCGTACACTTGGCACAGAAAACTCGGCCACAAAGTCGACAATGGTGTCTACGGTTAAATAATGTGAACTGGGCATCGCAATCATAACACACCCTGCAGCTATGATCAGGCATCCAAAAATCTCGTGATACATTAGCAGGCTCCGATAACCAAGGGAGCCATGACTTTAGTACACCAACTAGCTCAGAAAATATGTTATTAGAAGCATCCATCATCCACCTACCGATGATCCTACTATCTCCATTCATTGTGCTATATTCATTTGACCCTGGTAACAAACCATATACTAGGCCGGAAGACGAAATCCGACCAAGAAAATTCTGTGACTGAACTTTTACGCCCACCAATCTACCTACTGAAGAAATTCTACCTCTTCATCTCAATCCTAGAATTGACTATATCATACGTCAGACAAGATATCGTTTCCAACTCCATTAAAATCAGAACCAAATCAATTCCTGGCAACACAAACTAGTTGAACAAAATGAAATTCTTCCATCTTCAAATTCTTGAACCAAAACTAGTCGAACGAAGTCACAGATTGCAAGAACCCAGACTTTATAAACGTAAAATTATAAGACCGATTCTTACTTTCTACAAGATAAGATCAAAGCACACCCCTTCTCATGAACCAACACAAATCCATCTTTCTTCAATCAATACCAGACGTGAATTAAACAAAATCCATTGTTGGAAAAATATCATTTCTTCATTACAACAACCAATGACAAATCAATCAATAGGTGGATTTTCTCCCTCCCTGCAGATAAATACAACAGAAAGATTTGCAATTCAACAGTTTTTACCTCGAATTGCCAATCAACAACGTCAGCATCAAACAATCATGATCAACACCTTCAAGAATGAAGCAACCAGCCGATAGATTCTTGTCACGCAAGCAAACACTAAGGAAACGAAAAGTGGGTAAAAGCCCCCACAATGCAGGATGAGATTCTTTGTCAAGAAACCAATAAAATGGTGAAATTCTTGACCATGATAAGGAGCATCTCCTTCTCAATATCAAAGAAGGAACCCCATCTTTCCATTTAGCAAGTCGGTATCAAAACAATACCTGAAAGAGCCTACGCATTTGTTTCCATGCACAAAAATAATCTGGGCATCCTAAATATATCTAATCTCATTCATTTGTATTTTTTCCCGATATCCTGTGGCAAAGAAAGCTCTGTCCTTTAACGTGGGTACATGATATGAAGTGTGCACACTGCTGTATGTTAAAAAAGATTAAATTTTGAGCAATGTTCTTTTTTGGGTTATGGGAGGACAAAAATGACAATGAAAGAGAAAGAGGAAGAGAATTTGTATTTTGGAGGTTTAACTATATTTAAAGACGAATGTGCAACACAAACGGAGGAGACTTTAAAGGGTCACCCTCCACCTTCAACCTAATTTCATGCTTGACTAGCAAAGCTTGTATTTTCATTTCATTAAGAAAGTATTTAGTTGGGAACGAAGCATTCATTTTGCACTGGACTCACAGATATTTTCTTTTGTTAATAATAAGGGTAAACTACAACAATGGTCATATGCTTGAGGTAATTTCTTTTTTCATCCTTAAAGTCACTAATGTTATTAATTTGTAACAAAAAGGTTAATATCTAATTTGGCCATTAGACTATTGTTAAAACACCAAATAGGTCCTTCAACAATCATTTCATATTTAATTTGACACCTTCAACACCGATGGCCTCACCCGTACCACCCCACAGCCACCATTACCCGCACCCATCTCATCAAATAACAGGGACCACTGCAGGAGTTTATGTTAGGATGGCGAGAGGGGCGAAAAAAGATTTTTAATAGAAATACATAGAAAAAATTAAAATATATGACAATTTTAACTCCTCGGTGCATCCTGCGGCAAAGAAAAACATCCAAACTTGCAGAAATACGAAGAACAACATTTTTTTTTGCACAAATCAAATTCGGATAAATTCAGTTTAATTTTTACACCAAAAAGAACCCATCGGTAACTGTAATAATAAAGCTCCATCAAACTGCAATTCTTGAATTTTTTTAGTTTTTATCGTTCCCACTAACTTCAATGAATTAATTTGGATACAACAAAGCTCTAAATCAATAAAGAAAATTTTGCTCCCTACTACTTTTTCTATGTTACATTCTGCACAATGCATGACTGCATAGTTCATCTTCTCTACAGTAAACAGCAAACAAAGAAAACAAGGAAGGCCCATTAGAATTAATACCAATAAAAGGGGAGGTTTATATTTGGTTCGATTCAGGTTTGAGGGTCTTCTACAGTTTGAGCGATCAATCCCAACGGTGGGTAGAGAAATCTAGATGAGGGGAGCAACCTACCCGTATCCATGGCCATCCGACGTTGGAGACGTGAGATCCGGTGAAGAGAAGCTAGGATTCGTTTGAGGATTTTTCGGATGATAACTTACCATTTTCGGTGAGTTTAAACTACTACGATGGCGGCTTTGAGCGACGACTAAGATTTTTATTTTGTGGGAAGAGATAAGGGCCGGAGCGTTGCGATGCAAGAAAGAAGAGGGCCTTGCCATTGTTGCAGCAGCTCACGACGGAGAGAATGGCTCCTTGTATTGGTGGTTGTTTCATCATTTCTTGGGTTTTTGTAGTACGGAGAAAGAGAACCCAGGGCAACAATTTTGTCAAGGGCTTAGATGTTGTTATAGAAATAGTTCAGGGATTATATAAACTTTTTATTAGCCTATCACACTAGTAATTTAATTATGTTAATTATAAAGTATTATTTTATTAAAAAAACACTACCCCAAATATAGGTGACTGTTAGTATTAATAAATAATAATAATAATAAAATACATATATATTATTTTAAGATGATAAAAGTCTACTAACATTAACTGGAATTTAAATAGTATTCTTAATTTGAATCTTAATTTGAATCTATGAAGTAGTCACAGTTAGAGGAAGTACTATTTTCTTTAGAAATTTTGATTCGAATCATAATGGTTACTCATACGTTAAATAATGGCTAGACTTATTTGTGATTCTTGGGAAGAAGCTTCTCCCTCAGCTCTGCAACATCAATGTCGCCCAGGTGATTCTCCGGAATCCAATTCCCGGTCTTCGGATCTCTCATCCAAAACATCCCCTTCCCCCCATCATCTGCCGGAAAAACATCTGTCGTCTTTCTCATAACCGACGCCACCGCTTGCTTCTTCATGTTCTCCGTCGCAACCGCGTAGGATCGTCTACAACAACGCGTAAAACACACACTCAATAATCATCCATTGCAGGAAAAGAAATCGCAATACGTTATGCTTTACAAAATTTTAAGAGACGAAAATGCATCATGGATTAAAATACAAAGAAAATATCAACCTGAATAGTTGGAAATTCTTGATGAAAAGCTGAGCCATTGTCTGGTTTAGAAATATAATTATTTATTTTTCTTTGTTATGTTATTTATAGACGTTGATAATGCATAGTCAAGACCTTAAAAGAGTTGGAGAATATTAATGACTCTTTTGCTTGCATAGAAAGATATACGTAATAATAGAGAATCCAATGACGTTTTTTTAAACAAATACTAGTTTATAATCACATAATCTTATTTTGAGACAAAAAGACACATCCATCAATGAAGATCGTTAGTCAATAAACTGTCAACACACTAGAATAGGGATCTTTTACCCTAAAATAAAACGTCAGGGTAAATTACACGTTTAGTACATGAATTATTAGTTTTGGTTCGTTTTAGTACCTAAACTTTCAATTTTTTTAAAACTATACATAACGTTTAGTTTTTGTTTCATTTTAGTATCTCGTTAAAAAACTTTAACAGCACTGCACTTTTTATGGTTAAATTACATCATTTGTCACTCAACTATCTTCTCACTCCTATTTTGGTACTAAAGTTTATTGATATTTTTTATTATTATTTTATTAATATATAATTAAAAATAAATTTGAAATTTAGAGTGATTAAATTATGAGTAATTTGAAAGTTAAGTAATTAAATTAAAAATTTTAAACTTTAGTGATCAAAATAGGAGTGAAAAGATAGTTGAGTTACGAATGATGTAATTGTCAATTGTTAGGGGTACTTTTTTGGTATTATACCATTAAAATATATCTTGAAGTTAAAGTAGAGCATCTTTGAAATAAATTAAAACTTATGGATAGGCATTGTGTATTGTCTAGTGAGAGTATATGACATTTAGAATGAAAGATGAATATAAAGTAGGGTCTGTTTGTTTGGGGAAAATTAATTACGGAATTGGTTTTTCTTGAAATTTCGTGTTTGTTTCACGTAATTCGTTTTTCAGAAAATATTTTTCAGTATTTAGTTGGAGGAAAAATGGTTAGGCAATGTAAAACATTTTCCTGGTCAACAAAATTTCATTTGTGTTTTCTGGACTTGCGGTTTGATTTTCTGCAAGTCATTTTCCGAATTTTTTACTTCAAAGAATAAATACTCAAAATAATTTTATTTTATGAATTTAATATTAATAAAATATTTTAATATTATTTTAATCAAAATATTAATTATTAAAATATTTAAAATATATTTATTAATATTTCTAATAATATAATATTTTATTTTTAATATTATAATAAAATAATCAATTATATTATAATAATATAAGATATTATATTTTTATTTTAATAATATATAATAAATTATTAATAAAATTTATATTATTTATTAATTTCATAGAAATAATATTATTAAATTATTAATAATGAATAATATTATTTAAATATTTAATATTAATATAATAATCTAATAATATTTTAATAAAGATATTTAAAATATACTAACTAATGTTTTTAAAATATAATATAACACCATTACTTTAATAAATAATTAATAGAATTTATAATATTTTTATTTCAATAAAATATACCAATATTAATATTTTTATTAATAAAACTATAAAAATAATATTTAATAATAAATAAATTATTTTATTATTTTAAAAATATTCATATTAAGTTTTATGATAAATAATATTATTTATTGTATTTAATATTTGTAATAAATAATTTTTAAAAAAATATCAACTAGTGGGAAAAATGTTTAAACAACATCTTCCAAACATCGTAAAACTTTTTCCAGAAAATGTAATTCATTTTCCTGAAAACGTTTTCCAGAAATGTAATTTATTTTTCAGAATTCAATTTCCAGAAAACCAATTACAGCCGAACAAACATACCGGTAATCATATTCCATTTCCATTTTCCACCAACTGATCATCGCCATTATTAATATTCCTTCAATTATACAAAGTTCAACAGAAGTTTGATCCATTGTCATTCATAGACTGAAGTGGTAATTTTCTATTTAAAATCATCGTATTTTTTCTTAGAATAGTGATTTAATTGAATGTGATATAATTAAATTATATGGGTTGTTTAAAGAAAAAGAAAAAATAATATTAATTGTGATTGATGATCAACTAGTTTGATGTTTAGATCAATTAATTTATGTAATAAGTTTTAAAATAATAATATTTAATAAGTTTAAGTTTTAATTTTATTACGTTTGAGGGCATAAGTGTGTACATGTATCTAAAATTATAGATTATTAGAACTATATGTTATAATAATTAAACCTTTAAGATATCATATATTAAATATGAAAGGTGAAGCCTTAATGGGATATATATCAACTTCCATTTAATTATAGCAATAGTAACAATAATATGACTAGGGATGGCAAACGGGTACAGTTTCGTGGATTCCGCACCGCATCCTCTCCAATTGGAGCGGGGATGAGTATAATTTTAGCGGGTAGTGGGCGGGTGTGGATTTATAAAGTGGTACCCGTCGTGGGTGGTGGGCGGGTAATGGGTTTGAGACATTACCCGCCCCGCATCCGCCCGCCCCACATCCGCCCGCCCAGCTAAATATCTATTAAATTTTGGACCATTATGAATTTAGGTGTAATTTTAGAGACTAATTTATAAATTTTAATATTGTATAATATATAACATATAATTTAACCAAATATTAAGGATATTTAGTCTTTAATATGGTCTTTAATTAGGGAAATATTCGGCTCTTTAATTAAACCCATAATCACACTAACCACGTCACTTTCCATGTTCTTTAGCCCATGCTGCCCATCCAAACACAAATTAACCGTACTATATGCATTAACATCAAAAGCAGCAATTTCCATGTTCTTTAGCCCATCAAAACCCATATTAGGCGCACTATGAGCATTAATATCGAAAGCAACTCAACAATCCAGCTCTACGACTACATGCTCCCTACAATCTGTCTCCATAACATTCGTAGAGCCATTCCTCTGACAAATTGAAGCATACGTTGCTACCCTATCACGAACTGTCTGGGAACCAACTCCAACATCATATCAGTTTGCTGTTAGGCGGGTCTAGATGGGTATGTCGCTAGTGGGTAATGGGTGTGGGGATGAATTTGAAAATGTACCCGCGTGGGCGGGTGTGGATTTGAAAATTTGTACCCATCATGGGTGGTGGGCGGGTGGTCGATTAAAAAATATTAGGTGGGTATGGGGATTGGGGAGGATGTATTCGCACTCGACCCGCCCGTTTGTCATCCCTAAATATGACCAATATCATAAGATATAGGGGTGTTCATAATTCGATTAAAACATAATTAATCGATCAAATCAAAATTTTAGTAGGTTAATTTTGAATTCGGTTGATTAATGGTTAATAGTTTTTTTCAAACTTCGGTTCGAAATTGATTAATTCAGTTCAAAATCGACTAATTAACCGAATTAACCAAAATTATTAAATATGTAATATAATATATATATTATTCAGCTTTAAGGGTGTTTAAACTTTGATTTTAATTGAATTAATCGAATAAACCAAAAATATTAAATATTGAATATATAATATATATATTATTTATAAATTTCGATTAATTCATTTAACAGACCAATTAATCAAACTTAATTCGGTTTGATTAATTTTTTTTTTGAAAAAAAATTGTTTAATGAAATTTGAGTAATTCAATAGTTTAACCGAATTAACCGTTTGAACATCCCTAATAAGATATATAGATAAGCAATTGATATTTAAAGATGAGATGCTTAAACTATCTAAAACTATGTTGTTGTTTTTTTGCTTCAAGTTTCGATTAAAATAAATCCCTTAAATTATTATATGTAACAACTTAAGTACCTAAACTATTTTTATTCAAAATAATCCCCTAAAGTATGCCTTTTTTTATTTAAATCCATAAACTACTTTTTAGTCAAAACAAGTAACTAATTTTGTGCTACATGTTAATATCTCATTGGTTGAAAGAAAATTTTCTAACTGAAAAAATGAAAAGACTTAGAATGGTTACATATAATAGTTTATAGACTTATTTTAACCAAAAAAATAATTTAGGAACTTAAAGCAAAAGAGAGACATAGTTTAGGGGCATATTCTTACTTTCAGTCAAAACGAGAATGAAAGACTTGAGAATAGGATGGCCGGTAAAAACAACAATTTCATTCATCCTTTTTAATTGTGACAACAGAGATAACAAAAATCTCTATCAAGTCATTCATGTCTACCAAAACTATAACTAAACTGTGTCAAAATCACAAATCCAATCACAATAACTCATTTTTAATAGAAAAAACGTTTGTCAAAATAAAAAAACCTCAGTCCCAACCAGTGGGAGCAGAAGCAGGAGCCGAAGCATCGATTCCAGCGACGGGGATTGGTGCTGGAGCACTTGCAGGATCCCAACCGTCAGCACCACCAGCAGCTGCATTTCGAATTCTAAAATAGATTAGGCAACGAAAGAACGATTATGCATGATTTGAAGTAATAATAACAATGACCAAGTCCAAAACTTAATAATATGAATGACAGTAAAAGTAAAACATCGGACCTTGATCACCCCAGTTAGCTGTAGGGGCACCAGGAATAGGTGGCTGAACCATATCGGTCCACTGATCACCACCGATTTGTGCGGGCCATTGGTCAGCTCCTAAAGCACCCATACCAAAATCTGCAGCAGGGAGTCCATAATCAGGGGCAGCAACAACTTCCTCCTCTTCCTGTTCTTTAGCTTCCTCTGGCTCCCTGTAGAAAAATAGATCAACCTACATACAACAATGTCCTTTATGAGTAAATGAAAAATACATAAAAGAAAATCGTATCGACATCATAAAGATGGTCTTCTCATTTACCATCACATCCCATTTCTGTCCAGGAGCAATTGTACCATGCATCTGAAGAACCATTCTTGCTAACAGCCAGAAAAGACATCCAATGCTGTGTTTTCCCTTGTTATTAGCAGGGATACCAATGTCGACATATCGCATCGGTGAGTCGGTGTCGCGAAAAGCAATGGTAGGAATGTTTCCAAGAGCAGCTTCCTTGATAGGCTGCAGATAATATGCTCGAATGTTAGCAAATCCACAAACATTGTGC